CGGCACCGCGGTTGCTGGGGGCGCCCCTGATGATTTCCAAAGGCGAGATGCTGAAGGAAGATAATGATTTCCTTTCTGTGAAGCGTCGATTTGACGCAGGCGATGATAATCTCGGCGAAGTAGCATCTGATAGTGACTCCAATACGACGAAACCCAAGCCTAAAGTGGTACAAATACCTGGTATCGAACCACTTATCATAGATTCTCACCGTCGAGAGAAACTTCTGAAGTCGAAGAAGAAGCTGCTTAAATACAAGGGCAAAGGGTCGAAATTGGTCTTCGATGAAGATGGGAACCCGCACGAAGTGTATGAAATGGAAGATGAGGACGACTTCAAGAAACAGGGTTCTGCAGATGCGCAGCGGGCCAAGTTCCTGGAGCTAGAGGCCGAGCGGACTAGACTTGCAGATATCCGCGACAAAGAAATTGCGAAACAAAAGAAACGGGAGAGAAAGGAGAAAAGGAAAGAAAGGGCAAGACTGGCCAAGGAAACAGGCGACGCTGGAGGGTCAGCAGTGCTTGCGCCATTTGATGAAGACATTGAAGGAGATGATGACCTTAGCCAGGCTTCCGGCACCGGGCAAGTTCCCGGAGAGGCCCATCTGAGTAAAAAGCAAAAGAAATGGTCCCAAGACTCGTCTGGGGATGAACATGGGGAGAAGAAGGGCCGCGGCCGTTCGAAACGTAGTCAGGCAAATGGGCCCGTTGCGATTGAAACTTTGGAGGATCTGGAGACTCTTGCTGCTGGGCTTCTGGGCTAATGGAATTCTAAGGCTAGATAATTGGTGTCATCAAAATTTTCAAACCCATTTTTTTGTATACGTGACATATGATTATACGGATATCCCATTTTTGTTATAACTATCTCATGTGTAATGTGATCAAAAGATGCTCCAACATCAGTTGAGCAGTTTTGCTTTTTGAAGATTCATGGGCTCATCCCTGCGTTTTAATATGGGAAGCTATAAGTCACAATCTCATATTACATTCAATGTAACGATGAAACATGATGAAGCTTGTAACATCATCGGGGTAAATTCATCTCACCACACTTGGCCATTTTTATTTCGCATGATATCAAACTTTGTTTGACAGCTCACTGGCATGGGTTGTAGTCGATTTTGTCATTCAGGCTATTATTACTCTATTATGCCGAGCAGTAATATCAGCATACCTGGAGTGTAGGATCAAAACCCATCAATCGTATCCATGCCCATAGCTCTAGGATCATTATATGCCTGGGGGCATTGAGTTCCCAACGGTCAATGGATAATTTGTCCCTCCATTCTCCAGCTCCAGCTCCAGCTCCAGCTCCAGCTTGGTGTTCAGTGCTCTTTCGTCAAAACAGCTGGCTATCCTGGGGGCGAGGCAACAATTAGCGTATTTTTTAGAGTGTACATTAGTGTATTAAATACGTGAAAACTACTGGATTATATGAGAGAGCGACTGTATTGGCGTGTTTTAGTGTAATTTATGTAATCTATTTGATCTAGCCCTAATTAATATCATGAGAATGGAACTCCTTCCAACATCCTCTTTTCAAGCAGAGAGGAATATTATTACATGCTTCACAACCATATCTTGTCCTTGGAGCTCTTCCTTTATTCTCCCCTGCTACCTTTCTTTTGTACTGACACCAGGCACAAGTTTGAGTATATGGCAAGGAGATCCGATGGTGATTTAGATCTAGATTTGATCGAGTAGTGGGTAGAGGATTTGAGTATTGAAAGAGTTGAAGATAGAGCTGTTGACGGAACTGCACATGAGATAGAGTAGTAGTGCCAGAGCCAGTAGTAGCCAGTCGAGATGAAGGATATAAGCATTGACAATAGCATGGTCAATAATCCAGTACAGAATTACCAACCAGGTCCGATTAGTGGGCATATGAGTCTCATAGAAAGCTCTATACTGATTTGCTAGGTCAATCCCATTCATATTATGATTGTAATCATCAATAATGGTAGGAATCTTCACAGCTTTTTGCCAGTTATCTCTAAATATTCTCCGGATTTGAGGGTCATTAGTAGAGCTCAATCCTGGGCGCTTTTTGATACGTTCAACAAAGCTGTCTGGCAGATGAATTGTAGACAGTAGTAATACTATGTTATTGTCTTTCCATCCAAGACAGAGAATCTCATTTTGAGGTATTATACACAGAGTATTGAAGGGAATATGAGAGGATAATCCAGAGTTCTTCAGTTCTTGCAGAAGAGGAGGCAGATTGACAGAATGAGTGGTTCCACAAACTTCAATTCCTTGCTTTCAAAGATAATGAAATAGAGCAACAGATGTGAAGTAGTTATCCATATAAATTGAGTAATCAGTAACCTCTTTACTGTTATTCAACTCTGAATGCTCCTTGGAGCTCTGCTGCTTGGAGCTCTGCTGCTCGAAGCTCTGCAAGAATACAGGCAGCCGTTTAATCAATTCCACCACAAGAGATCCAGTCTTGGTTAATCCTGGAGTCCGGAACATCGTATTTATGCGGAGATTATCATGAGACATGGAAAAGGTTCAAAGATATCTTTGTTCTTCTAGTTCAAAGACCTTATATCCCTGTCTGATTGGTTTCTGAGACATCTTAACTGTGTATTTGAACCGTCCAAAGAACCGAATCATCATCTCATCAATGGAGAGATTTGAACCTGGGTTGTAGTATTTCTGGCATGCTGTATGGAAGTTGGAGTATAAAGGCTCTAGCTTCTGTATGTAGAACGGAGTAGGAGGATTCCAGCCTGTGAGGATTGAATATATGAATAATATCTCTTGATCTGCTCAAATCCACTATTGTGTCATATGAAATCTTGATGAATGAAGTGGCCCCTGTACATCATTCCTGTTCCAATAGTTCCCAATTGCTGAAGACTTATGTACTCTCATATAGATAATCTGCTCAAGAAATACCTTGATTTCTGCAGGAGTAGTTGGCTGCCAATCCTGTGGATTGATGGCTGAATTCCTTGATATCTGAATCTCTGCGTAGGCATTGGTGGAACTGGCAATATTCTGAATATCTGCCTCTGAGATATAGAGAGAGAATAGGGTGTATGGATTCTATGGATCAATATCATTGGACAGATCGACAGCTAGGGGGCGATGAGGAGATTCCATAGGTTTGAATCTAATACTCTCAAGAGATGGAATGTCTGCAAGAAGTGCATTGATAGATTGCTTTCCCTTTACACCTGTTTTTGTACTGTCTAATAAAAAAAATCAGTCAATCTGATTAAAAGAAGCATTGAAGGATTGGAAATCACCTGTAGAATCCATATTTCTATTCCAGAGTGGGCAGGGTGGCCAGGGGTGTCACATCCACGGTGGATATGAATAACGTGATCACTCACCTAACGACCGCTCCTACCTAACGATCGCTCATTTACAATTCAACAAGATTATTAAAATCTACGATATCTCAATAACGCAATTAGATATTAAAATTATATATTAACCATTAAAAGTACATACAAAATACACTATAAAAATATAAATAGTTAATGTAGTAAATACCTGCTGGGTTTGATAATTCGCTCAGAATGTGAAACTCGCTGTCCAGCAGTGTTGGAGTCAGCAGAGGCAGCAGCAGCTGCACTTGATGCTGAATCTGCAGAATCTGCAGTAAAAATCTCAATCAGACTCTGATTTCCTGATTTGAGAAATGGGTTTTGCTTTTTTGACTGTATTGACGTTGTTGAAGCTCGCGCAGGTTGCTGCTTTGAAGAGATCTGCTCAGCTTGCTTTCTCAATTGCATTGAAGAA